GTCTGAAAGTGAAAATTTTGCGCAAAAAACGCGTTTCTTGCGTTTTTTTAATGAGCGTTACTGACTCACAATCGTGGTTCCCTTTTGAGCGTTTAAACGCGTTTTTCCAAATGTTTGTCTGCTTGGGTAACGTAGAACCTTGAAGTTGGCATCAAATGAAAGAGTGCGCCGAGTTCTATATATTTCGATGGAGAAAAGTTATGCTACACCTTGAGGTCTTGAGATAGAGATTTTTAACAAACTCGGTTTTCTAGAAAACCTGGTGATCTCAAAATTTCTTTCAAAAGTTTCCAACCATATCATTGGATGGCCTCTTCAATTCTCCACAAAATGAAATGTTTGTCAACGTCTTACGATGTTGTGTCAAAATGTGCCATAGAAAATACGATACAGATCGGAAACGGCATTAAAGCAAACGACTTTATATTCGCAATGTTAAAATGCGTGTAACTCGGTCGTCCGAGATCGCAGAAAGTTGGCTAACATTTCATTTTGTGGAGAATTGAAGGGGCTATCCAATTCGGCTCGTTTTCTTGGTCATTCTTGATTTTCTTCAGCATCCGAGTTCATTTTCGGCCTCAACTTCCTCAAACTTAATGGTGTAAACTTAGATACGTTTGGTCTTTGGTTGTGAACGAGAATTTTGGAAAAAATAATCTTTTTCAAATTTTGATTTTAAATTCAAGAATGATGAGACAGAATTGGGTGTTTAGAAATACGTAGACCGACCAAGTTAAACAGAACTGAATCAGTGCAGCATGAGATTGAGTAGGAAATAAAACATTTCGGATCGCAACCGAATGTTTTATAACCCATGCGAGGTCAAAACCTCCAATTCTATCACATCATTCTTCAATTCTGCTGTATAGGAGTAGAATTTTAGAATTGTAGGAACTCTGGCGTCCCTGACCTTCCCACAGCTTTTGTCCAATTTCCATATATAGTATAAGTAATGCTAATTTGCTGAAGTGGAAATAAAGTGTAAGGTGCCGCTAAGGCAAAACTTTAGTACAATTTTTCTTTCGTGTATTTATACATGATTGGATAGAATACATCGAGTTGAGTATGGAAAACTGGTTCTTAAGGCTTTAAACAATTTGTTAAGAGAGAAGATTTTAAAATACTGAAGTGGGTAAGTTTTATCGAAAAACTGCTAGGTTTTGAAGAAAAGTTCATGACTCTGTTTCTTGCTCTTTGAAATGTTTCGATATTTCATGAACTTGTCGCTCATTGCTACCTTGACTAAATAAACTGAACTGAGCCCCCCATTGTTTTTCCAAAACTAATTTGAATTTGTGTAATACTCAAGAATTAATTAGCCTGTTTTTGTCACCTATGCTCTTGATCTCTAACGATGGTCAGTAAAAATGGTTTAGTAAAACCGAATATTTAAACTTTACTAACTAGTTTGAGACGCAGCGAAATATCACTATCCTGTCACAAACTAACTTTAAAGTTTGATTATCTCAACAGGATTTTATTGTGAATGAAAATATCAAGACCTCAAAGCATAAGTTCATTCGAACTTTCACAGTACATTTTCAAAAAATCTTTAGAACTAGTTTCCAAGGGTACTTATATCCTTTTGAAAACCTTTTCTATTCCGTATAAAAAATCGTTTTCGTGAATCTTTTCAAGATTGATTTCGAGAAGGGTTCTAGATAATCGGTTATTTTCCCACAATGCATTCTCTATTTTTATACAGTGGATGTAGGAAATGTAAATTATTACGAAATATAGTGATCACTAGCTAAAGTATTTAAGATAATCTCGAAATCTCCTCGGGCACTAACGAAGAAGATGAAGCTATCCCATATAGTTTAAGGATTATACTCTTTGGGAGCTTAGACTTAACTTATAGAACATAATATTACAAAACAGATATATTATAACAATAGCAACAAATGATAAAAATATAAATGGTATTACTTTCCAATGGAAAAGTAACATGGAACGTAAAAAGTTCAACACACTGAATGTTACAGCTTAAGTTACTCATTTGTTTCCGAGAAATACCAGGACAGTTGTGGATGTGGACGATATCCACCCGTGAGACGATTCCATCTTGTTTTCCTGTTTATTGTTTCCGCTCTATGTATTCGTCCTGTCGGTAACGGTGGTAGAGCAAGAAAATCGGAATCATCGCGCCTTGACATACGAGCAGACGATTCATATCTGTTATCATCATGCCTATGGTACTTAACTGATTCTGGCGTTTGTGGCATCATCGTATTATCACGTCTACATTCGACATAGGGTGCAGCACGGTGTCGATAACATCCGTAATTATGATGCTGTGCATCATAGGATTGTGTATCGACAATTAGATTTTTTTGTATCGGACACACTTGTCGATGTTCGATTGGTGCATGCAACGGTTGTTGCGATATTTCTGAAAATCTTGAATACAACGGATGTGGGATTTTCAATCTTGAGTTGGTAGCGTCACCACTATCATCTGTTTGTTGATTGTAAAATCCTCTGCCGAAATTATGTTTTAGATTATCTGCACCACTAGTAGATCGATCAACTGAAAATCTTTTGTACAATGGTTGTTGATTGAGACTACAAATGATTCTGATAAATAATAGTAATACAACAGAATACAAAGAAAACATTTTAAAGTCAAATGACATACCAAAAAACTTTTTTCGTAAAATATAAACGAATTTTAGAAACGATAAAAGTACATTGTAGTAACGCGGGAATTATTTAGTTAATTACGGACTTAGTAGTCTTTAACATTCCGGCGGCATTTAATGTCTTAAATGTAAAATTTAGGAATACTTTACATTTTCCTTCTCAGTTCCAGCTACTTAATCCTTTAAAACCAAATACCCATTCGAATGGACATTGACATTATCATTATAACGAACTGAGCAAGCATTGTTTAAAACATCTAATCATACACCGATTGTAGAGAATTAAATTGTATATCGAATGCTAAAAGAAATATGTCAGCGTCCAAACTCCGATCCAAGCCAATCTCAGATTGGCCTAGGCCAAATTCCAGTTGGAGTTTGACCTGTAATAATTGTAGTTCAAACTACGATCGAAGATTGTACTACGCCAATCTGGAATCAATTCAACCCTCAGTCTATAACGATGTAATGTTTTTTTTGATTTCGTTCATCCGTTGATAGAAGGAGAAAAACAGACAGTGTACGTATATTATCGTCCACTGTGTTTATTCTTGATTCTCTTTTAACATATATAATAGATACACAACACAAGTCAATTAGTCATTTCTTAATTTTTTAACGCAATGCAACGATTGTTTTTCCGCCAGTGTTTTTTTGGGTTTTGTTGTAGTTAATGGAACCAGACTAACTACTTGACTATTGCATCAGTAAGTACACAGCAATTTTCTAGAAAAGAAGAGCATTCGCAGAGGAAAATTTACTTTTTTGTCTCAAAGTTGAACTATTTTCTGCTTGACAGTAGAATCGAAAGAGAATATTCTTCTCGAACAATGCAACAAAATCTAAAGTCTTCTCCCGTGTGTACGTTCAGTTAAATATGTTAACTGTGTAGAGATCTCAGAATGAAAAGTCACAACAGTGAGAGAAATGCACAATGTTGAATTATCACAAATTATGAGTTACCTCGGTGTAAGATCGCTTTACCGTTAGAGTCTTTCAGAATGTAGCAACGATCATTTCGATCCTATTTGACGCACAGAGGATAGCGGCACAGCCAGAGCACCTTAATCACAGGACGCTAGATTGGCTCTAGCAACGAACTGATCCGAGTGTCAAGTATCTATATCGTGTAAATTAATGTACACTAATTTTTGATTCAAAAAACGATGGAAAACTACTTCACATCAATTTAAGAGGTCAAATTAATTTAAATTCGTTTGTAGGAAATTAGTTTACATCAATTTCGCAGTGAAAATGAACTGGAATTAATTTCTAGGTTAAAATTAGTTCCAATTAGTTTGAAAAGACATTAATTTAAATTAGTTTTAACTAAACTGGTTTGAATTAATTTATTTTGAATGAATTCGAATTAATTTGGTGCTTTAAATTGCTTCAAATTCATTTAGAGTAATTTATTTTGAATGAGTTCGAGATCGTTTTAATCCGTCAAATTGATGTAAACTAGCTTCGATGGCTCAAAACTCATTTAAATAAATGTTTTTGTAATAGATTTGTAATAATTTTGATAATATAAATTAGTTTTAATTAATATTGAGAGTTGAACTTAGTGTAGATGCGAATTCTTCTTCGGAGGTTAACAAAAAACTGTATGTCATGTGTTCTCTTGACCAGACAAGAAATGCAAATATGTTCTCATCTCTAGAACCCTCGCTCGCCTGAGGTGAGTCGTCTCCTGACTTGCACATCCTTCTACTGGAAGTTCAGGCTGTTTAAAATGGATAAGAACCATTCCACGTAACGGTCACCTTTTATGTCCAAATTTTGATAAGAAGCTGTTTTCGTTTGGCTTTTTCTCCTATCTCTTGCAATAGTTTTTAGGTTTTGAGCAAATAGTTAGATAGAGAAATGTTTTAAGATCAACAATGTCATTTTAGTTCAACTCTCGCTCATTCTTGACGGAAAAAACTCGAACTGCGAAAACATAGTTATTTGTAAAATGCGTGATTCCGTAACAATGATATTTTACCAATTTAAGCGTTAATTTCGGACTTGTAAAAATAATCTTTTTCAATCAATAACCCATGAAGTTTTCTACAACATTTTCACATAAAGAATAGAGATTAGCTGAGTTTTCGACAACTTTAAATTGTTTCGGAGTGTCTATTCCATTTTTGGTGATTCCGTGACGGTCGATATTTTTCTTATAAAATTTGAGCCATATAGTCAAACTCAACAGAAATTTCAGAGACTGTCGAGCACGTTATTAGACAGATCTGATAAGAATTTAAGCATTTCTTCGTTTAAACTGACTGAGAAATTACAGTCAGAAGCGGAAAAAACGTGAACCCACTACGATTATGTTGATCGATAAGAGTTTTTTATGCTAGTTTTCTTCTCTCAGTACAAAACGCGCTAGGTTAAGTCCTCCTCACTCAGAAACCTACTTTCGTCCAGGAACATTCAACTTCGATGACAATTTTAGACAATGTGTACCTTGAGGTACTTAGTCATTCTACTAATTGCATCCTCTTATCAGTTATTTCCCCAGAGTTATTCTTAAATTAGTAGTGAAAAGTTTTTTTCTATGTCGTGACGTCGTTGGATTTTTCAATTCAAGTTTAGTTTAGGAGGAATTTCAAAAGTTTCTGACAAGTTAGAGAGATTTTATTTAGAAAAAGCATTTGTTTTGAAAAAGCAATGTTTTGAAACCAATCCGAAATGCCTAGCTTGAATAATGACCGAGATATCTTGGAAGTATGAAACGCTATAGTCATAAAAAGAGATTTAGAGAAAAATATGAAACAGGTTTACGAAGTGAAAAACGAAGAAGGAAAGAAATACAATAATACTTCACCATAGGACGGCATTTTCAGTCGAAAAACCCAAAGTCTCCATAGTATATCTGATATAGAGGCTAAGTTTCCCGAAGCAACTTTTTGCGAGGAATCCAATGGCACTCTCAGAAATTCTTGAAAATATTTCTGAACCGAAATAAGTACCTATTTTGGTTTCGAAAAACTTGAAATTAATTTGCATTAATTTTTTTGTAATTATTTACATTAATTTGGGTACACAAATTCGTTCAGATTAATCTTTGATTTGAAATTAATTTCAGCAAATGTTTTCTAAATCAATTTGAATGAATTAGTTATTAGAAATTAATTTAAATTAATTTACCAACAGAAATTAATAGACATTAATTTTTTTTACAGTACTGCAAAGAAATTTGAGTCTATAAATTAATTTACATTGATTTCTAGTATCAAATTAATGTACATTATTTTTCTTTAAACCAAGCTAAACAGACTCAAATTTCTTTGCAGTACTGTAAAAAAAATTAATTTCTATTAATTTCTGTTGGTAAATTAATTTAAATCAATTCGTAATAAATAATTCATTCAAATTGATTTAAAAAACATCTGCTGAAATTAATTTCAAATCAAAGATTAACCTGAACGAATTTGTGTACCCAAATTAATGTAAATAATTACAAAAAAAATTAATGCAAATTAATAGTTTCAATCAATCAATAGTTTTTCGAAACCAAAATAGGCACTTATTTCGGTTCAGAAATATTTTCAAGAACTTCTGAGAGTGTCATTGGATTCCTCGCAAAAAGTTGCTTCGGGAAACTTAGCCTCTAACTATATCAGATATACTATGGGGACTTACTACTAAATTGAGTTAAAGGGATTTAGAAAAACATTAATTCAAATTAATTTGAGTTTCAAATTAGTGTAGAGTTTTCGAATTAGTGTACACTAATTCGAAGCTACGAATTTCCTTTCAAATTTGTTCAAATTCCTTTGAATCTCGAAATTTCTCGAAATACAAAATCCGAATTAAACATGTCTTCTGCTCATGGATTTCTTCCAAATGATTCTTCTGTAAATTCACTTGTTACTATAGTTGATCTGATTGCAAACAGTCTTAATCAGGGCAAACCACTGTTAGCAGCTTTTTTGGATTTTTCTAAAGCATTTTAGACAAGAGACCTTTTCCAAAAAATAGCTTGGCATAGAGTACAACTTGTGTACTTCAGACTGGCAGAAAAACTAGAGAAGGGCACTTTCAAATTTGTTAACTTTTTACTCTGGGAAGTTGCCAGAATAAACACTAATTTCATGGTGAAGGGACTCTTTCTTTTGGATAAAACGATAAAATTTGTTCTCTTCTCCATTTCTTGCTTTATAT